CGGGCCTCCCTGCGCGCCGGGCAGGCCCCTCACCAGCCGGAAGGGCCGGAGGCCGCGCTGTGGAGCTGCGTAGGAGCCATCCCCCATACTAGCCTGCACCTGGCAACCTCCGTGTCCTGGTTTCCTTCTGATACATGTTCTGAATTAGAAAAAAACCCCTCCCAATGCATTAATAAAACCACTCTTACAGTCTGCTGGGCTTTACATTGTAACGCTACTTAATAGCATATACTGTGATCTGTATATTTAATACAAACTGTATGTTATATTCTAATAAGTACAATGTTTTCATAGTGTATACTATACAGTGCAAATATTTAAGGAAAAAAGGCCACATTGACTCCTGGGTTCTTCCCAGCTGATTGAAACGCACCCCGTGTTTGCCTAATGTTTTGGTAGGGCGAACAGCAATGCGACCTGTCGCTGACATGACGGCTGCCTTCCATTTTTGGGATGCTGCCCTGAGTCAATCTGTAATGAAGCCACCACTGAGTTTGCATGAAAGAAATGGGGGAAATCTCTTGACTCTCATTTTTCTTCTCATTTAACAAAAGCTCGGTTTGCACCGACAGCGAGCGACCTCCTTCTCTTCCTTTACTGTGGGTGGTGCTTGGGAGAGTTCACCAGCTCATGGAGTGTTTTCCGTCTGCTTTAGAAAGACTTAGGCAGGCAAGTCACTGATGTACAGGCCTGCTGTAGTTCTTTCTTTACGGTATCACCAGGAGATACGTTGCCTTGTGGGTAAATTTAACCATCAGCCAGACCGAGGTGCTCATCAGCTCTGTAGAGAATTCAAAAGGCACTTTTTTTTCGGTCCTGAATTGCCCGGCTCAGAGAGGAACGGCATGAGATGTGCAGTACCTTGCCCTGAGCCCACCAAAACCAAATCTCCCCTGGAAGACCTGGGACGCATCTCACACTCACGGGCGTCACCTTTTTGGCTGTCACGTTGAGAGAGCAAAGCTCGGAAGCACCAGTGCTTTCTCAGAAACAGGTAAGCGGGAAAAGCGTTGTAGCTGTTTATTGCTAAGATGTGGTGGTATCTCTGAAACTCTCCCGTGGACAGCACCGCCACTGCATTGGGTGTTGTATACATGGAACTAACGGATGGCTTCTCCTACTAAGAACTTACAATATAAAAACAATAAATCCATTTGTTCTGAGTTGTTTGTGTTGTCTTTGAGGTAACTGCAGGTTCTAATGTCTGATCAGAGAGGTCCTCTCCCCACAACAGCTATATTCCATTGTTTTCCACTCCTCATAAGAGGATAATGATTCACTGGCCCAAATTTTAAAAACCTTGGGTATGAGCATTCCTCTGAAATTGTCTGTGCTGGCACCTGCGGCGTAGGAGAGCTGCGTGCAAAGGCTCTCTGGAAACAGCCCAGTTAGTTCTTGCCAAAATGCCCTGTGCTGGGTTGAAGACTGCGTAAGCCCATACTGAAGTCCCAGGGCAAGAAGGAAACCTAAGCCTGTTCCCCAGGGCTTTCCTGTACGTGGGTGCTCCTCAGGGTCAGAGCCTTAAATAACTGCCATGCCTGAAAGGTCTGCACTTCTGTTTGTCCCTCGCAGCCTGTGAAAGCTGCTCTCACATAGGTGATGACACTCACTTCAACGTCTCTGCCTCTTAGCTTAAGGAATTTCTTTCCCCCTTCCAACAGGGAAGGATAAATTCTCCACGACAGAAGTGCTGTCTGTGTATCCTCAGCTGGTGTTTACATCATTGCCTTCCCTTGGGAGGATATCCCTACACAACGCCCTAGGAACGGATGAAAACCAGTGGGTTTGGCTGAGGGCCGTATGGGGCAGGAACAAGCCCAGGCAGTCCCTGCGCTTCCTGGCCTGGTGTTATGCATGCAAAGAACTGAGCTTGGGACCGCCCCATCCCGAATGCTGGGGGTGTCAAGCAGAGCAGCAAACAAAATCAAACGAGTGAGTTGGTCCTTCTGTAACGAGACAATCAGAGAAACCCACACCCCAAAGTGACATCGGGTTGGAAAAAATCCCATGAGTAAGTGACAAAGCAGCACAGGAGGGGGGTGGGGGTGGGCAGGAAAGGGACGTGTGGCACCAGAAATGGATTTGTTGGGCCAAGGGAGCATCTAGGAAGGGAAAGGAAAGACAGTGGCCCGATTCTACAGCTCTGTGGAAAGGGAGCTGGGGGTCCTGGTGGCCAGCAAGCCCAACAGGAGTGAGCAGGGTGCTGCTGTGGCCAAGGTGACCAACAGGGTGCTGGGGGGGAACACCAAGGGCATCACCAGCAGGGATAAAGGAGCCACCACCCCACTCTGCTCAGCGCTGGCCAGGCCACACCTGGAATCCTGGGTGCAGTTCTGGTCCCCGCTGTACAAAAAAGCTGTAGGCAGGCTGGAGGGGTCCAGAGCGGGGCCACCAAGGTGATCCAAGGGCTGGGAAGCCTCTCTCAGCCGTATGAGGATGGGCTGAGAGAGCTGGGCTTGTTCAGCCTTGAGCAAAGGAGGCTCTGAGGGGATCTCATCACCACGTGCCAGTACCTAAGGGGTGGCTACAAAGAGGATGGAGCCATGTGGAAAAGACAAAGGGTAGTGGAAGATTCTGGTTGGACACGAGAGGGAAATTTTTCCCCATGAGAACAGTCACCCATTGGGATAATGTCCCCAGGGGAGGGGTTGACTCCGCCATGTTGGACACTTTAAAGCCTCAGATGAACAGGGTGCTGAGCCATCTTAGAATCTTGTCTACACTGTGCTCTTTCCAAGAAAGGTTGGACCAGATGATCCCTGAGGTCCCTTCCAACTTGTGATTCTATGATTCTGTGATTCTGTCTCTGCATGGTCTGGCTTGTTACTGGCCACAACTCATCCTGCTGATGAGGCGAGCAGAGCTGCCTGGGCCCCAGGCACCAGGAACCTCCCCAGTTCTGGACCAGTAAAGCACACACGCAGAATGTGTGCTGAGCGCATCCAGTGATGGAGGAGCCGTGTGGGTATCTCTACCTGCGCAGCGCCCGTTTCCCCAAAGAAGTATCAATTCCTCTGCCCCATATGCTCTTCCAAAGTACACAGAGGATGTGACCACAGAGGATGTGACCATATAGGATGTGCAGTCCTGTGTCCCATGGGATGGCTGATGTCTCCTTTGTGCTTCCAAGGGGCCCCGTTATAGGATGGCCTTCCTGGGGAGAGCATCTTGAAGCTCTTGGCAGGTGCCAACAGAGAGCAATTTGCTGAGGCTGCATGGAAAGTGAGGGATGATTCACATTGGGACCTCACAGCCTTGTTTGGTTTTTCTGTTCCTACACTTGAGGAGGGGTAAAGGGTCTTCAAAGTGCCTCCTCATGGGGTACCATGCTCCGTGTCCCCCTCAGTGCCCCCTCAGGCCATTTGCAAACCCTTGAGTCTCATGCCCCTGACCTTTTCTCGCTGTTTGTCCCCCAAAACCAGCTATCTGTTTTTCACGTTGTTCCTTCTTCCTCTATCCTCCCACACCTCGGGGGGCTTGATGGCTGGATTAGGACCAGCCTAGTGGCCTGGAAGGAGAATGGCAAAACCTCCCCCTAATTCCAAGGCCATTTAGGGACATACCTGTCTCATGCCTTCTCTTATGGTTTGTTGGTAACCCTGGAAGGTGAGGAGTGGCTGCTGAACAGTGACACAGTGACCAGAGATGGGCCTCACCGCTCATGCAGCCCGGGCAGGCT